TCTAACGCCCTACAACAAGGGGCCCTAGAAACTAAAACATTCCTGTACAACAATAAAATCGATATGCTACTTGTTTCAGAAACACACTTCACTACAAAAAACTATTTAAAAATACCGTACTACACCATATATGATACCCAGCATCCCTCAGGAAAAGCACACGGAGCGACCACAGTAATGATAAGAAACGACATTAAACACCATTTACACAGCCAAGTTTGTAAGGAATATATCCAAGCAACCACCGATATAGTACAAACTAGCAGCAACTATTTACAGTTGTCAGCAGTATATGTACCACCGCAACACCAAATTACATCACAAATGTGGGAAGAGTACTTTCAACATTTAGGTGACAAGTATATTGCAGCGGGAGACTATAATTCGAAGCACACACTATGGGGATCAAGAATCACTACACCTCGAGGTAGAACCTTGGAAAAATACATTAGAAACAATAACCTCAATATATTATCTACAGGAAGGCCGACATACTGACCGACAGGCCTGACCTGAAAATACCTGACCTACTTGATTTTGCAGTTACAAAGAGACTAAATGCAAATAAACTATATATAGCACCCAGTCTTGACCTTAGCTCCGATCATACATCCATAATTATTACATACAGAAACAAACCAATACTTTATAACAATTTAGAGACACTATGCAACAAAACCACCAAATGGCAAACATTTAAAGAGATAATTGAGAACAAAATCAATTGTAACATCCGATTGAAAACACCTGAACACATCGAACAAGCAGTAACAACACTTACAGAAACTATTCAGGAAGCAGCATGGGCAACCACCATACCTGAATCAACTAATAGACGAACAACAATAATTCCGCCAGACATCCTTGAAAAAATTAGAGAAAAAAGAAAAACGAAAGCAAAATGGCAAAAATATAGATCAAAAGAAAATAAAAAACACCTAAATAAACTTGCAAAGAAAATTAAAAACAAAATAAAAGAACACAATAACAATGAGTTCACAAAATTCATAGAGTCACTATCTGTGCACGAGAACTCTAACTACTCCCTATGGAAAGCCATAAAAAAATAAAGAAGCCAATAAAACTAGCCCCAGCAATCAGAAAAGCAGATAATACATGGGCAAGAAGCAACGAAGAACAAGCTGAAGAATTTTCCAACCACCTAAGCAACATATTTACACCACATAACATCAATAATAGCAACCACAATTGTCATACCGATGAGGATGCGTTAACCACTAGTACCTCAACTGACAAACACTATATCAAACTACAGCACAAGAAATTAGAAACATAATCGAGAAAACAAAAAACAATAAAGCACCAGGGATCGACCTAATCAATGGTAAAATCTTGAAAAATCTTCCTCCAAAAGCGATTCGACTAATCACGATAATTTACAATGCAATATTAAGAATCCAATACTATCCTAAACTATGGAAACTAGCACAGATCATAATGTTACCTAAACCAAGCAAAGACCCACACCAAACAACATCTTATAGACCAATATCACTACTTCCCGTGTTTTCCAAAATACTAGAAAAAATAATTTACGCCCGCTTAAAACCAATAATAGA